ACACAAACAACATTTCAGACTAACCCACCCCCACCCCCCACCCCCCGAAAATAAAACAAAAAAATCCCTCCCCCTTTTCAGCTTTACCTGAAAAGTAAAAAAATCAAAATATCATTATTCCATTGAAGGAAATTTCAGTGGCAACAGGTGACATGAAAATTATAAAATACGACAATAGAAAGGAAAATTGGAAAATTGAAGGTATTAAGGTACAATATCTAAGACCTCAATTGAAATATATACTGGAGTTCAGCATACTGATCATGACTCTCATCATTACTACCATGAAACATAAATCACAAATAGAATCTAGAGAAATCAGAAGTGCGTCATAGTTGTGCATACTTTTTAAAAAATCAGAAGACAAGTAGGACCGAGATGGATACCTGAAGCATTTCTAGCCAAGGAATACATGGGATTTGCTTCCATCATAGGCATCACTTGGCTAACCACAGGACCAAACTGCAGAAAAGCTACAACAAAAATCAACAAGTAGAAATTAACGGCAAACACAAAATCGAGTGAGAAGTGACATATTCCCTTGTTTGACCGGACAACTGTATTTAGTGTATTTAGTGAGAACTTCAACCCAGAATCAAAATTTTGATCGCAAATGCCAAGGAAAACATACCCAAGGTAGAACCTCACATGTAACGTAATATGAAATCACAAATATGAAGAAAACAAGTCACAAATGGAATGTTATTTATTTATCCTGAATACTAAATGATACAAGCCATGCCTCTTGTAACATAATATTCACTTCTATTTATAATATATCTAAAATGATACAAGCCATGCCTATCGTAACAAAATATTCACTTCTATTTATAGTATATCTATATACATTATTATTTATTAGAATGGTAAAAAGACATACATGGCTCATGAAACTACTGTTGAGATTGAAATTCATCATTAATCACAAAGTAATATGGTATTTACTATTTAGTTTCTTGTTAAACAGAGTCCAAGTTGCAATTATGTTATACTACTGGAAGCCAAGTAAACTTTTGTATGTAGTCATCACATTACACACAACAAAGTAACATAGGTTTGGGTGCATACTAAGCAGAACAGAAATACTAGGTGTGGGATTTGAAAGCCACATTTCAGTCAAGTTACTGCCAGGAGCACTATATATAGTAGAATATCACATTTTAATATCTGGAAATCATAAAGAAGTATATAAATGGCACTCTTGAATGGGTAGTGTAATATAGTAACTAAAGTGGAGTTTTTGAAATACGATGTATTATGTTATTCCATTAATTATGTTGCCTTTAGTACTTATTCAGAGTTAATATGCCATCCAGTACAAATGTACCTTGTACCACATGCATCAATGCAAATTTAAGAAGGGTACATTTCGCTGAACACTAATGAACTTTTGGCCCATTGCAATAAACTACCATGAAATTTCAAAATTAGACAAAGACCCATGCGCTTTTCGGCATGTGCAACAAACCCTCCTAAATTTCAATTTTCTCAACGGACCCCCAAACAGGGCCAAAATACTCTTTTATGGACAACAGCAATTAGAAGAATGCATATTACAATGGACACCTTATCGGAAGATAGATAGCATGGCATGCATCTTCTGAGCTCAAGCTAGCCAAGAAAAAAACATCTAACAACTGAAAACTGTAAGATCTGGCATAATTAGAGAAAAAACTACCTGCTCAAAATATGGGACAGCCTCCGAAGCTGGTTTGTTGTTAAAAGAGACAATAACATTGGCCTATAACAATAAATAAATAAATAAGCCTTTGTTAGATTCCATGATTTGCTTTTATTCTACATAAATACATGAACCAAAAATTGCAATTCTAAGGTTCATGTCAAATATTAAAAACCGCTTGATAAAAGCAAACCAAATACACCTCTGGTATCTTTTCTGAGTAATAACTCCCGACAAGCAATTGAAGCAGTGCCCCATTACTGTAATATCCATAAAAGATCACATGAACAAACAGCAGATAATTGATTGAACTGGTATATACTATATACACACATTAAATGCGAAATTGAGTCAGACTTTTCATCTACAACTGCATATGAAATTGTAGCAGTTCATTTCAATCCAAAAGGCACCAAACTTGCCTATGCCCAACAGAGTACAAAGGGAGGCTGATGACATCAGAAGCAGATAAACTAGCGTCAGGAAGTCCAGAATTCAATAGAACCTCCACGCAATTGTGGAATCTCTCAAAAACTTCTCTTGAAGCTTCAGAATGATCAAATGTCACATTATAAGGCACTGATACTACTAGGAATCCTTCCTTCGCCAGTAACTCCATCAGATGACTGCAAGTTCAATGAGAGAAATCTAGTTAATAACTGAATGGAAATGGAAATTCTTTGCTGAAAACCTATCAATTTCTAACTGATTATTTGCTCTCTTTCACATTGTTATGTACAAATGCCTATCATTTTTTTTCTTTTTTGGGTGGTGGGGGGGGGACTATCAAAATTCCAACTGTGTACCAAAATATATATAGCTGTCACTACTTGGTTAGAGACATTGAAAAAATAGTTAAGAGACATTGATCAAAGTGAAAGCTTCTTGATCAAAGATGAGATCTTCAGGGTTTCCCGCCATATAAGAGGAGCTCTCATGTTCTACGAAAGAACTAGAGGATTGAGACTCTGCGATGGCTGAATGTTCATCATCAAAGTTAATTCCATTAGCCAATCTCTGATAATTGATAGGGAGTATAACTCCCTTTCGAGTCTGGGTGTGTTGATAGATTCCATCAGACTCACTCGAGATCTCTTTCAAGCCAGGAGATTGGTTCACTTCTTGACTCTTTGGAGCTAGAGATTGATGGTCTCCCTCTACCAATCATATTGATAGTAACTCCAAGATATTCATCCTCTGAAGTTTTCTTCTTGTGAGAATATTAGCATCCTGAGAGGTCCGCAGAAATCAGTCGTTCACATTGGCATGAATGAGCGATTTGTCTTTCTCTTGATAAAAACTCTCTCAAATCCGTTGTAGGAACTCATGCGGTTTGAATTGGAACTCCCTGTCTACGATTGGACGGGACTGGCTCATGGTGAACATGGATCTTGAATCCCTGTTCGTCTTTTTGAATGCGATGGATCACATCGCGTTTAGTATTAATAACACGAACATCGCGTTTTAATACTGAAATGCGAGGGTCGCATTGAGGAATAGAGACGCGAAGGTCGCGTTGAGAAGTAGGAACACGAAGGTCACGTTTGAGAGTGGGAACGCGAGGGTCGCGTTTTGATTGAGCAACGCGGGCCTGAGGTCTGCGTTCAAAGCGGACTTGAGGTCCGCATTTTGGTTATGAAACGCGCCATTGAGGATCGCGTTCAGCCTGGCTTTCGCGAGGCTCGTGCTTGGGCACATAAACACGAGGCTCGCGTTCTAGAGTAGAAACGCGAAGCTCAGGATCACGTTGAAGCTCACAAACGCAAATTTTGCGTTGGTTGATCGGTTTTTCTTGAAGTTATGCTCGTCGTAGGGATCTTCTTCTTTGTAAAGCAACGTTCTTCTTCGCCTGATTTAAGGCTTTTGCAGTGATGTAACCATCTGTAGTGATCAGGTTAGTCGTAATAATAGGCTTCTTGCGACCCGATACCTTTTGTTTAGGCACGAGCGTAGAGTCTCCAACTCGGTTGACGAGTTAAGTTAAAACTAGGTCCTCTCCTTCAGAGAGGGGACTATATGAACAGTATGATCCCAAGGAAAGACGCTCCCGTGGTGATTCAACGGTAGGAGAAACATTATTCTCCTTAGAGACTTTGCGGATCTTGCGCATAGCCTTGGGACTAAGGGATCCGGAGTGTAGGATCTGATCTAATACACACTAAAAACACTAGAGGGGGGTAAATAGTATTTTTTTTTAAAAATTATACAAAATAGATTATAAATTGCAAGAAAGATAACAACAATCACAGAAAATCATAATCACAAATAAGAGCTTTTATACTGGTTCCACCTCCCCGGTGTACATCCAGTCCCCAAGCAAATCTCGCTTGAGAGTTCCACTATGATTTTAAAAAACTATTACACAATCAAAAAGCAAACCTGACCAATTTGCAAGACCATGCAAATTGTACGCAATCTCTTCACCAAGAGATCACACCTTTCACATCCGAGAGAACACTTTCCTTAAAGGAAGAACACAATTCCTATAAGCCTTGAATGTATAGTGATGTATAGCAGTGGCTTTAGGAACCTTTTAATCTCTGAAAAATGCATTAATACTTTGTATATGGGATGAAGATCAAAGGCTCTTTCAGAATTTACTTTTCTCAACACTTGCACAAAAAATCTGAATTTTAGAACTCTTGAGAATGCACAAATGTTAAAGGTTATGGATAGGAATGATAGTTTTCAATTTCTAAACATAGAACCTATTTATAGCCCTTGAAAAGATAAGTTTTTAACCCAATTAAACGGATAAAAACGGCTATAAACAGTCATAAATTCAAACTTAAAATGTCAGAAAAACTATCTCTGTAGTCGACTATAACTCTTAGTAGTCGACTACCCTAAGTTCAAACAGACTCTGTGAAGTCAGGATTTTTCTTAGTAGTCGACTACTTTGATAATTAGTCGACTACTCTGTAAAAATAGAAAGTCAGGAATTCTGGAATGACTCTTAGTAGTCGATTATAACACTTAGTAGCCGACTATACTGTAATTTTACGAAAAGTTGAAAATCTATCTAAGTCTTTAGTAGTCGACTGCTATCACTATTAGTCGATTACACTGTAAAATAACAAAAACTTATATTCTTGACTAAGCCTTCGGTAGTCGACTACTAGTCTTATTAGTCGACTACTAAGTGGTGAAAATAATATGAATGGAATATTTTGAGACTCATTAATTAACTATAAACTCTAATGGTTAACATAGGGGATTTTTATTATTAACCACACACTAAGCATGTGTTAGTGTGTTCTAATCACTATGTATGTGCATGTGTTGTGAGTGATTAAGGCTTGTACAATAATTTTAAGTAAAGAAAATGTAAAATTTACATTGTATATATTTAAGCACTTCTTCTTTACTTCTTGTTGTCTTGAGCTCATCTTGCACTTTTGTTCACATATTTTGAGCTTATTTGATGTTGATATCTGCATTGATATGTTAGTGCATAATAATATACATAATGAATAAATTATTATCATCAAAATTATCTTGGGGACATGATATCCAACACGGAGGAGAGGAACTCCTCATACTTAACTTGGTCAAACTCAATGATCAGAGTTTCGACGGTAGTTCCCACGAGTTTGGTGTCGGATTGCGCCACAATCTCTTCATCGGTGAAAAAAATCTAGTCCTCAGTAAATGTAGAACCCCGTAATTTTTATATGAATATATATGAATTATTAGTAAATAAATAATTCTTTTATGATAAATAGCTTGAGGTCATTGATGTGCATGATAGCAAGTTATTTGAAATGATATGAGGGTATGGGTGTAGAGCTTTGTGTGTTGGAGTTTGCAAAATTAGCAAAACATGCACAAAACTGGAATTTTCCAGATCAGTCGACACATCAGTCGACTGATGGTATCGGTCGACACATAAGTCGACTGATATGCTGATTTCCAGTTTTTACAGGTTTCGGGTCTGTTTTGTTTTGGTTCGGGTTTGGGTCGGGTTTAACTGTTGGTATATATCCTTTCTTACCCGAACTCACCCCTTAGAACTTCAGACTAGAGAAAACCCTAGCCCCCTCTCTTCTCTCTCAAACCCTAGCCTTGTTCTTGGTGATTTGGGGAAGAAATCGGAGGATTTTCGGCGGGATTTTCAATTTGCAGCGAAAGGAATCACTCCCCCTCAGATCCAGGAGCTCTTCATCACCTCAGAGGCGAGTAACATCTCGCCCAACCTTGTCCCATTCTTTTTAAACGTTTTCAAATGGTTTTATTGAGATCTCTTTGGCCTAAAACGTATTTTGTGTACAAAGATTGGATTTTTATTGCATATAACATGAAGATGTGCATTTTCAGTTTGATGAATAACCTACTAATGTTTGGTAAATTTAAAATCCAGATCTGAAATGTTTTACAAGAGATTTAACATGGGTTTTGTTTTGAAAAAATGTTTTTAAATACATAAATACATATGTTTAGAGTTTTATTTATGTATTTGTACATGAAAGTTATGTTTCAATTAGTCCATACATTTTAAAATACGTATGGTTCATGCTTGGAATTGATGGGGATGTGTTTAGATAAAGTTTGAGATGAAAATCAACCTGAGCAGAGTTTCTGCAGGCCATCGGTCGACTGATCCGTCGACCGACGGGCATATTTCCAGTCATCAGTCGACTGATCAGTCGACTGACGAGCTGGTTGTGTTTTCTCAGCTTCTCGGTCGACTGGTCAGTCGACTGGTGAGCTGAGGCTATGCTGCTGAGCTTCGTCAGTCGACACATCAGTCAACTGATGAGCTGTTTTACAGATTTTTGATCTGTTTGAGTTGTCTTTCGGGGTCGCCTCGATAACCTAACCCTAGCTTATCATGTAAATGATTTTCTGTACATGTGGGTTGACTTTTGACTTAAGTTTAGACACGTACATCGGGATACGTGCGAGTTTAGAGTTGGTGTATTCTTCCACATATGCTAGTGATAATTACATTTCTTCATTTATAGTCTACGTGTTGGACAATGCATTATTTTGATCCATGTGTTGGATACTCACCATCTGGGTCCATGTGTTGGACATGCACTCTATTCAGTCCATGTGTTGGACCTGCAGCGCTTTTAGTCCATGTGTTGGACATTTTTTTCTTTGCCAAACCTTGAGCATGGTGCACATTTGAGTTTTGGAACACGACATTTTGATACCGTTAAGACATGATAGTTACTTAGACTGGGTATGACACTTATGTAGAATACGACATGATATTTTATGACGTGGGACACTACATGATACTCTATTTATGTTCTGAGATGGGTTGTCTTCTCTTTTATTTGTTTCTGTTCACGTATTAGACTCCGGGTTTGGTACTTAGGGATTTTTAATTTGGGATACAAGGTATATACATGAGGGTTTCCTTGTTTGGATTATTTCGCTCGACGTACCTATGCCCGTGTTGAAACTTCCTAAGTACTAAAGCCCATTGTGTATTTTTAGGATAATTGCTTATATATATATGTTTTGTGATAACTGTATTTTCTTATACAACGAGCCCTATTCCCTTGGGGTTGGTTGTGATGTTGCTCGCTAGCGCTTGACGCTCGTTGTCCCGTTGTCCCTCCCCCTTTCAGGTCACGAGCCAGGAGCCCGGAGAGTCGCAGGTTGATGGCGACACACTTTAGTGTTTAGCTGTCTGTTATGTTTATGTTGGAGCTCCACTATAGATTTTGTTAGACATTTGAGAGTATTGTTTTAGAAGTTGTAAAGGCTGTATGCCTTATTTCCTTCTTGTCAGATATTTGGATTTGAGACTTGTTGATCACTCCAGTTTATTTATTCAGACATTGACTATGTATTTTTATTTGTTGGATGATGAGATATTTACTTGATCACTATTATTTCATCAGCCCTTCGTGTATTATCTTTTACTTGCTTTTGTACCTACACCTGTTATTGATTCTACTAGATAGATGTTAATTGTGATGGTGAAACTTGTTGTTGCACGGTGTGGTGCATAGCAGGTTTGACATTCTTGGTTTCACCTTGGACTGCAGCCTTGAGTGAACCCAGGGGCGTCACAGTAAAGTCGTCATCTTTCGTTTGCGGGAAAAATTAGAAGAAATTTGAGAAGAAATGTTATTAATTCTTCTGACTGACTTAGAAAAAGAATGAATACAATCTCTCTTTACAATCTCTCTAACTGACTTAGAAAAAAGAAATTATAATTTTCTTGATCAGTTTCCCGATTTACAAAAGAGAGAAGAATCAACGAAGATCATTCCTTTTGTTTAATTCTGGGTTCTTTTTGGTGATGATGAGAGCTTAAATCTTGTATCTCGTTGACGATCCAAACACTTCGCTTCGTGGAATGTTGTCTACTCTTCTTAACTTATCGTCAGGAAGAACTTGCAAAACAAGTTTAGAACTCTAAATGAATTTAATAACTCAGCGAGAGAGTTAATTTCAGAAAGAAAAGTTAATCCTTTTTAATTGAAATAAGCTAAACAACTGATCTCAAAGTTCTTCAACCGAAAATGGTTCAAAAAAACCAAGTCAAATGATCTCAAAAGCTCCAACAAAAAGCTTTTCAATGATCTAACAAGCTCCTCCAAAAGCTCTCACCAAAAAGCACTCACCTTTTTTCACCTATAAACCCAGCTATTTATAGGGTTTAAGGGTGTAATTGACCCATTAATTCGCTTCATAATGGGGGCTTAATTGCCCTATTAAGTGGGTAACCGTTTAAGTAATTTGAAATGGTCAAACATTACGTCCGCATTCTAGCTTCAATACGCGGGGGTGGACCCTCTCGTTTGGCCTTTGAAACATGAGGGTGAGCTCTGCGTTTGGAGTTTGAAACGCGGGGGTGTGCCTCGCGTTTAGAGTTTGAAACGTGAGGGTGAGACCCGTATTTGGAGTTTAGAACGCGAGGTTGAGCCCCACGTTTGGAGCATGGAATGCGAGGGAGGGTGAACCCTCGCATTTGGCCTTGAGAACGCGAGGGTGGACCCTCGCATTTGGCCTTGAAAATATCGTGTAATCTCTTTTTTTTTACAAGGATCGTCAGCTTGTTGTCATTATATTTGATTCTTGAAAATATGAGAGTCGTTAATTTGTAACTCTTGTCTGCTTTCGTGAAAATCGTCAGGTTATAACTTTCATTATCAGTGTTTTGCGGGAACCAACTATCTGCAGTAATTTTTAGACGGCCTACAAAGATAAGGGTATTTTTGTAAACAAAAAAGTAATTCAATATAAAACTGGAAACAAATTGAATTGAATTGCATGCTAGGGTGTTTGCATTTGTATTCGTTTAAAATTTTCCTATTCCAATAAGAATCCAAACATCATTCTTAGAAGTTCTTCGATTTCGAATTTGAACACAATTTCTTTTCTAATAATCATGAATATTTATCCAAATCACTATTTATTTGAAATAACTTATAGTTTATGAATATTGAACTATTTAATTAAAAAAATACTTTTACTTGTTTAAAGAAATACTTCCATTTTCCTATAGAATTTGATTTTTAAATAGAATTTAAACTCATAGTTGAACACTATTGATTTACAATTATGATGTACAAATCTGTAATTTGTATATTTTGTTAAAAAACGAATATAGAGGCCTTTAAGTTTATAAAAAATAGTATAGAACTTAAATTACAAAACGTAAAATGGTCTAAAACAACATAATGCGTACAATAGTGAAAATGGATCAAATTTTAAACAAATATTTGATAATTAAATGAATTGAACATAAATCTAGCTAAAATCTATTTATCTATTAACTGAATTCTAAAACTATTTGTTTACTATTAAATGAACAACTGAATTGACTACAACAGAATAATTAGACGAACAGTTAATGAACTATCCGTTAATCATTTGATTTTGTTTTCACCCCTCGATTTAAATATATCATCATGTGAAGAGAGGGGTCAGTATCAATCAATAATATAAATTTGGAGGGTTTGTTGATCAACCAAGGATTTGTCAAGTTTTTCGATCTGTAGCTGGGGATTACTTTTCGGGAAACGGCTAAATTACCAAAGTGGTATTTTTTGTAACCCCGTTAACCTTTTTCGTATTAAAAGTGCGCCAATGTGGACTTTTTTCTTTTTTGTTACAGGTGAAAAACTTGACAGGAAAATTACACGTGACCTCACATGACTTAACTTCAAGGTTATTAGATCGCTGATATAACTTTGTTTAATGGAAGTGGCTGGATTTAAAAGACGTTGCACCGATAAATTTGTCTATTTCTTGACTTATCATGTGGTTTTGAACATGTAGATGATCAGTAAGAAGGTTATCAGTACTTAAGTGAATCAAAACATAGTTTTTGCTAGAAATGTGTCTGACATTAACAAAACTTTCTTCAGATTTTCACCGACGGCAAAGAAAAATGCCTGATTGCAGAATGAGTGGACTCTTTTAATAATGAAAAGTCACTCGACAAACTTTTAATACGAAACCGGTTAAGAGTGGTTAGAAAATTGCCAATAGATAATTTAGAAACTTACCCAAGTTGGATGATTGGTGAAACGTTAGGACATCAAATTGCACTTAGCCCATAAAAATTTTGGAAAAGAATAAAACACCTATAAGTGACCTCGGGAACAGCGCCAACGAAAGCGCCACCGAGAAACTTGATGAAAGCTTGGGGCTTGACTCCATTCGGCGGCGGAACAACGAGACAAGAATCGAGCCTTTTATATATCTTTTCGCCGGCGATCCTCACGTTTCTAGCCGGCGCCGCCCAGTTGATGACCATGCGAGGGAATCCGGTTCGACGGCTCCGCTGATTTCGGGTTCGGGTTTGGATCCGTGAGGTACGATGAGATAAATAGGGGATTTGGGGGAAGGGTGAAGGGAGAGTAATGGCTGTGGCCATGGCGCCTTCTTGTGCTGTGGAGTTCACAGAGAGAGGGATAGAGGGGGTTATCAGGTCGAGGGTTTTGCCACGAATTCGGGCTTCCAGTCAAGAGTTTGGATTTCGGGTCGGATCCTAGTTGATGGATGCTCCCATTCACTTGACTAATAAATGTCTGTGGATTTGTATCCGGACCCGCTCACCATCACTCCTGTTAAAATGGTTGTTTGGTTGACAAGAGCTACGGCTCATGGTATCATATCATCATATTATAATATCACAAGCGTCATGCCCGTGCTCGCACGTAGTTGTGTATAATTTTTTGAATTTTCTATGTAATTTTTGGACTTTTAATGTGACTGTTTGTATTTTTCAAATATTTAAAGAGGTTATTTGTAATTTTTGGGTTTTATATGGAGCTACTTGCAGCATTCAAATTGTTTCGGATCTGTGTTCATAATTTTTTAATTTTTATGGTCTACATGCTATTTTTAGATTTTTCAGAGGGGGTTTTCTAATTTTAGGTTTTAAGGGGTTGTCCTGTAAAATTCATATTTTCAAGGGCTTGTTTGTGGATTTATTATTTTTTGGAGTTTGTCTATAATTTCATGGATTAATCTACAAATATGAACAATTAAAATTAATTAATAAGTTATCCTAGCAAGTATGAAATACAACAATGTATATGAGCTAGGATAAGAGAATAAGAACGCCAATGCAATCACAAACAAAACGATATGTTTACGAGGTTCGGTCCCCACGACCTACGTCCCCGCTCCTCACCTCGAGGAGATCTCCACTATCACAACCGGGTTTTCTACGTTCACCCGAACAACGTTTACACCTCACAATACAATCACTATGTAATCACACCTCACACACTAAGTGTTGGTCCTAGCCCGTGTCCTCCTCCTCAAGTGCTCGGTTACAACCTCTCCCTAGGCACGTCAACCGACGCCACTCCTCTTGGATTCGACCCCGTCTCTCACCACACACTTCTCTCGGTGTACAAGTGTATTACAAGTGAATCCTCACAATAAGCACAATATAAATCAAATGATTTGTTCTCTAAACAAGGTGAGAACTCAATTAAGCACAACTCTTGGTCACAAACCCACAACCCCAAATTATACTATGTATGTAAATACAATAAGCTCAATAGGTTGTGTGTGAACAAAGAGTATCAATAAAACAATTAAACTCAATATAGAAATCTAGCTTATGGAAATTAAGATCAAAACAATAAATAGCTAGAATTGAGTTTAAGGAAAACTTCTCTATAGATCAAGAGTGAGAGAGAGATGAGTTGAATGCCCAAACACCAAAGGATGATCTCCTCTTTGCTCTTGTGAAATTTGCTTCACAAACTAAACTCAAACAAACTCTTAAACTCTTTTAAACAAAACTTAAACCCTTGATTAAAAACTTTCTTAAACTTGTTTTAAAAACTTCTTAGATAATTTGAGAGTTGAAGACAATAGGGTATTTATACCCTCTCACAATTCAGCCAAAAACCCAAGCAAAAGACAAAACAGCCCCAAGCCAACGGTAAAAAATATAGCCGTTGGAAAGCATCTGACAGCGCGTCGACCGAAAACAAATGAGACCAGGTTCGGTCGACCGGTGCGGTCGACCGAAAACGGATATGACAGAAAACTAAAAACTGTTTTTCTGATTTTAAAACGCTGTTTAAAAATATCAAATAAATTCCAAAAAAAAGTAAAACTTATTCTATGCAATATATTCAAAACACTAAATATGATTTCATTAAATATAAGCTTGTTAAAGGTGAAATCATATATAGGCATATAAACATGAAACAAAATAGTATTTTCCAATTCTATTCATTTGTTTCATAGTAAAACTTGAAAACTATCAAACCAAAACATATATGTATATATATATATATAATTATATATATACAAAAACCAAAACGTGTATGTGTATATATGATTGAGCTTAAAGTACTAACACACATAATATAAATTCCTAAACTAAATTACCCAAGCAATGATCTTGATCTTCAATAAGCTTGACTTGGTAATCTCACGGATGAAGCTTGAACTTGATCTTTAACTTTGAATTGCAAGGCTTCACCGACATTCCGCCAACCTCCTTTGGATATGATCGTTGAAGCTCTATTCCATCCAACCTCCAACTATGTTGTTTGTCTATAATAAATAAGAAAACACGAATACTAGACAAACAACATTAGTGGTAAATTGTTTGTTAAACATCATCAAAACAAGAAGGCCAACATATGGAACATTGTGTAATGGCATCTATATTCTTAATCAAAACATAATTCTGAATACTCATTACACTAATAAAAGAAAGCTATCAGTTATTAATAACGTTCTTTTATGGCATTGTAGACTTGTCACATAAATAAAAAAAGACTTAACGAGCTACATAAGCATGGATATTTAGATCTATTTAACTTTGAGTCTTATGATACTTGCAAGTCTTATCTTAAAGAAAAAATGACCAAGACTCCATTTACGGGAACTGAAGCAAGAGTTACAGAACTCTTAGGATTGATACATAGTGATATATGTGGTCCTATGTCTATAATAGCCAGAGGTGACTACTCCTATTTTATTACTTTTACTGATGATTTTTTAAGATTTAGACATGTGTTTTTGATAAACCACAAGTCTGAAGCATTTGAGAAATTTATCAAGTATAAAAATGAAGTAGAAAACCAAACGAGCAAGAAAGTTAAAATTCTTCGATCAGATCGAGGAGGCGAATACTTGAGCTTCTTAGGGTTTTTAAAAGAGAATGAGATTCTCTCTCAGGTTACTCCACTCTTTACACTACAGTTTAACGACATGTCAGAAAGGAGGAATCGTACCCTATTAGATATGGTACGCTCTATGATGAGTAATGCTGAGTTACCTTTTTCATTTTGAGGGTATGTGTTAGGTCTTATGTTATGAGCCTACATCTTCTAATCTTGTTTTGATGTATTATAAACAATTCCTAATATTATTTGTCTAGTGTTTATGTTTTTTTATTAGGTATTCAAGACAAACAATATATTGGAGGTTGGATGGATTGAGCCTACACGATCATATCAAATAAAGGTTGGCGGGATAGTGGAATGAATCCATTGCACATCAAGTCATATTCAAGATCAAGCTTCATCCGCAACCAAGTCAAGCATATTAAAGATATAGCAAGCTTGGGTAAATTAGTTTAGAGTTTATACTTTGTGTGTTAATACCTTAAGCTCGATATTATACACACACACAATTTAATAGTTTATGTGTTTTATCCACAAAAGTTTTTGCAAATAAATAGATATATAATACTTATTTTTTTCTATGTGGATAAGTTATTTTAGTTTAGCTATATAGATATGAAGCAATATATATCTTCATTTTCACATTTATGTGCTTCATATTATATTGAATTCACAAAACATTACGTTTATGGATTAAAGACTTATTTATACTATTTTCATATCTTGTACAAGTCTTTAAATCCATTCTAAAGTGTTTCAAAGTTTTGTTTAAGTCATTTTGTCAAAATCAAGTTTTTAACATGTTCATACTTATGTGATTTTGCAAAATGATGAGATTTCACCTTTTGGAAATGCTTTTTGAAAACCAGTTTTTATAACATGTGTACTATCATATTTATAATCATTTCCCAAAGTTTCATAATTTTTAGAATTTGTTTACTATTTTTAAAGGTAGTTTGGAAATTAGGTTTCAGCTTTAAACAGGTTGTATACTTGTTATCAGTCGACTGGTCAGTCGATTGATGAAATCAGTCGATCGATCAGTCGACTGATGAAAGTACATATAGTTACCAAATGTTTCTATTTTGTTTTGGTCAACTGACCAGTCGACTGATGATCCATCAGTCGACTGATAAAGGTTGTCAGTTGACTGATAAGCTGGAAAATGCCTACAACGGTCAGCTCATCAGTCGACTGATGAAACCCGTCAGTCAACTGATGGCTTGTAACGACTATATTTTCAGCCTTGATTATTTTATCTTTTTTGCTGGTTTTACTTGGGTTTTTTGCCTTGGTTCTTCATCCTATATATACCCCATTCTATTTCATTTCTGAACTAAGAAAAGAGTGTTTAAAAACAAGCTTTAAGGGTGGTTTAAGTTTTGTTTAAGAGTTTAGAAAATAAGTTTTGTGAAGATTGTTTTACAAGAAGAAGAGATCAATTTTAGTTTGGGCTTTCAATCTTCCAATCTCTCTCTCTTGTGATTAAAGAAGTGTTTCTAAACTCATATCTCTAGTTTGTTTATGATTTAATTGTTATATTCATATTTGCTAGATTTAATTGAGTTTATATTTGATTTTCTTATTGCTTGCACACACAACCATTGAGCTTAACTATTTTTACATATTGTATAATTTGGGGTTATGGTTAAGTGTAACCTTAAGAGTAAGCTTAAATTTTGTTCTCACCTATTGTAGAGAACAAAATCTTGTATTTGAGCCTTATTATGAGAGTTCACATTGTAATACATATTTACACCAAAAGGAGTGTGCAGTAAGGACGTAGTCAATACCAAGAGGAGTGGCGTCGGTAGTAAAACCTAGAGAGAGGTAGTAAAGCAGAGTACTTGAGGGAGGCGATACGTGAGGACCAACACTTGAGATTATAGTTTGTGTATGTACATTGTGAGAGATTTTTAGAGCTTTCGATAAGCTAAAAAACCGAGTGTGTAGAGAAGTTCTGGCTTCCAAAACGGGCGTGTCGATAGTGGAGTTCTCCCCAGGAGTGTGGAGCGGAGATGTAGGACAGAAGGTCCGAACTCCATGATCATACTATTGTGTTTGGATTGCTCTTTGTGTCCACTATTTGTTTATATTGTTTCTTGTTTATTTCCCCTTTGCATATATATCATTGCATATATCTTATTTAATATCATCTTTGTTAAGATATATTTGTTAATTAATTTTAATCAACGTTAATATCTAATAAGATTAGCAATAACTCTATTCACCCCCCACCCCCCCCCCCCCTCTAGGGTACTTTTAGTATGCATTGGAAACAAGAGCACACTTACTGAATAGGGTTCCTACTAAAACAGTGCCTAAACCTCCATATAAGATATAGTATGGGATAAAACCACATCTTAATTATATTAAAATTTGGGGATGTCATGC